CAGGTCAGAACCCCATGGGCAGCAGTGTGGTTGCTATGCAGTGCACACACAGCCCTGTTCAGGACGTCAGTTACTGAACGGGTTCGAAGCCCTGGTTCCAGGTGGGGAGAGATGGGCAGAGCGATGTAGAAGAGAACCACTGGTTTCTGCATAGTCGCCCATAGCAACACCTGCCCAGTTGGGAGATGACTCCCAGACTGTTGGGTTAGGTCCCGGGTCCCTGCCCAGTGGAGTCAGGGCTTGTTTCCTCCCTGCACTTCTCTTCCTGGGCAGAATAAGAGCATCTTCACCCGCCCCCCCCCATTTTGTTTTTTAATTGTTGTCAAAAACACAGACCCATTCCCCCATTCCTATGCATACATACAGTTCAGTGACGTGGATCACGTTTCTTAAGTTAGGCAACATCTCACCCTCCTTTTCCAAATTGCTCCTCCTGCATTAACACAAACTCACTGTCCCCACACGCCTCCTGTCTGACCTTTTGAGGTGCTGTTGTCAGTCTCTTCCCACACAGACAGTTCTTGCAAAGAGCTTAGCACTCAAGGCAAACAGAGCGAGAGCATGTTGAAAATGAAGACTGAGAATTCACCCACAGTCCTCTGGGCACCACAGAGGCACCGTCCTGAACTCTGGAGGGGAAAACTGAAACGTGCCCTTCTGATAAGTTAGACTGGAAGCGTTTGCCTCTTCCCTCTGTGTGGGGCGACTCTATCGGTGACACTCGAGTTGCCACCTCACGGTCCTTGCATGCAGAGGTGGTGGGTTTACTTAGCTCGCCACGCTGTTCAGCCACGACCATCCCGCTGTTCGGCGTCTCCCAGGGCACAGTCTTCACGGGAGCAGGTCCCCGGGTCTTTGTCCTGTGGAGCTGCTGGGGGATTCAAACCATCAACGTTTGGGTTGGAAGCCAAGCACTTAACCACTGCGCCACCAGGGCTCCAGTAATAAACTCTGATCTCTGTATGCTTCCTGTCACAGATATGTTATATAAGTGAGGTCACACATGAAAACGTTTCCTGGACCTTAGAAAGTTTGAACAGCAGGGAACCTCGGGTATCAGTTGGGTTGAATCTGCAGATCAAGGAAGCAAGACCGGGAGGGGAGGGGCTCACCTCAGTGGGCAAAGCTGTTGGTACCCAGCTGCCCGCACTTGGTCACTCTGGCGTCTGGCACACTGTCTGTCTGACCACTGTCACCTGGGGCGTGTTTTTTGGTCACACCTGCCTATTGGATCCTTCAGGCAAATGACTTCTGTCAACGTCCATTAGTCATCACTTCCTGCCCACATTTTACTGGCATCAAGAAGTGCTGTGAGTGGCGAGGAACTGGAATTGCAAAGCGTGGTATAGACTGGATGACTGGACAGATCTGTTGGTGTTCCCGAACAGGGAGGCAAAGCTCCGCCCACCTGAGCTCTGACAGAGTTCTTACTGTCCATGAACTCTGCCTCTCGATCCCCGTCACTGTGCCTTTGATCTTTCCTTCAGTGAGTGGCTACAACCTGCTTCCTTCCAGGAAGTTTCCACTCGGCGTATTCAGGCTCCAGACAACCATGAGCGAATGACATTGTCATCCGATTTCTCACGAGCACGCTGCACTTAGGCCCATCCCACACAGCGCACAAATGTGTTTCTCATCCCGTGGAGACACGCTGTGTCCTGCTGTTAGAGCCAGGTGATTAATTTCTAGCACCGGTCGGCATAGTAGGAGCTCTCATGGCGTAGTCCCTAAGGCGTTTGACTGCTAACCAGAAGGCTGGCAGTTCAAACCTACCAGCCACTCCTTGGAAGGAAGATTGGGTAATCTACTTCTGTAGAGTTAGTGCCTCAGAAACCCAGGGAGGGGTTGCTATGAATCAAATTGACTCAATGGCAGTGAGTTTGGTATTGGTTATTGGCGTAGTGGGTAAGGCTCTTGACTGCTAACTAGAAGGTCAGTGGTTCAAACCCAACAGCTGCTCCATGGAAGGAAAACAGGGCGATCTACTTCCATAAAGATTTACAGCTTCTTTAACCCATTGGGAATCACTATGAGTCAGAAACAACTCGATGGCAGTGAGTTTGGTTTGGTATCCCTAGGTTAATGTACGTAACGAACTAGGATATTGTGAAATCGGCCTTGGCAATCCAGAGAGTAAACTGTGTGTGCATGTTTTATTTTTTGTTAACAACACGCACAGCAGAATGTAAAGCAAGGCAGCGTCTCCACATGCACACTGCAGTGACACTGACGACATCCTCTGAGCTGTGCGTCCACCTCACCCTCCTCTTCTGAGCTGCCCCTCCCTTGTCAACAGAAACTCACTGCCTCCTAAGGTTCCTAGCTCATCTTTCCAGGTGCTGTTGTCAGTTTCCTTCCGTACAGATAGTTCTTTAAAGAGCACAGCACTCAAGGGTCCAAGAGAGACACCCGTGACCAGAGAGCCTGCACCATTGTTTGCTTGAATTGTCTATAAGTGCACTGTTACCAGCCTCTCGTTCACATTTAGCATCTGTGTTTCCCCTCCCCACCTGGCAGGTGGCCAGATCAGCTTTGACGTCTTCCCTGACGGGTGGGATAAACGGTACTGCCTCAGACACGTGGAACATGACGGCTATGACACTATCTATTTCTTTGGAGACAAGACCATGCCAGTAAGTAGGGGGCATCCTGCAGTTTTGTGGTTCAGGTCAGGTGTGAAGGGAGAGACCCACAAAGGGGCGCCATTCCTCTCGCCACACTGCACCTTCCAGCCCAGCTCAAACCGAGTGACAGAGTGTCACCTGAGAGGGGGTGACCGAGCTCCCTCCCGTCTGCTCAGACACCCGATGCCTCTGAGCAAGAGACAGTAGATCCTTTTCCGTTTGGCTCCTGAATTAAGCATGGCCCACCCGGGGCGCCCTCCAGAGCACAGCCTGGCGCTGGCCTCAGCTGCAGCACCCTTGCCGTTTTATTTACCAGCCCCCTGTACTGTTTCTCAGAAGCTTCAGTGTGGACCGAGCACTGGGGGTCAAGTGAGACCAGGAGTCCCCAGAGGACACCAAGGACCACTAAGAGGTGGGACCAGTCCTTGGTATCACACAGAGGGTACTGGGGTCTGTCCAGGGCTGAATCGACTGGAAACTGAGAACAGAGCTCAGAGTTAAGGCGGGCGCTGGAGGAGGAGCTCACAGAACAGACGCCGACAGTGGCTCTGTGGCGACGGTGGGCTCCCCCAGGACGGCTGCATGCTCAGCAGGTTGGAGGCGCCGAGGGGAGGCTCAGCTCCGTGTCCAGAGCCAGCCTGTGGCTCGGCGTCTTGGTTCTGCCGCTTGTAGACTCTCTGCTTGTCTTTTGTGTGCTGCCCGGCAGGTTAGGTAGCCTGCGGCCATGGCTCCCATTCCAGGTCGTGTGGTTGCACATGGTGGGTGCGTCGTAAACACACGTGTGCACGTGTAGAGCGTCTACTTCTTCCACTCTCTGATCCATTCACACACTCTGTCAAGGCCCATTCAGTGTAGCTTGCAAACCCTGTTCTTCCAGCACGAAGGAAATGAGATAGTCTCCTTTCTTCCTTTCAAATTGACAGAACCAGGACTCAGGAAGGTACGTGACTTGCTTGAGGTCACACAGCTAGTGACTAAGCCAGGGGACCAGAACTAATCTAAAAAAGTACCAAACCAGTTGCCACCAAGTCCGTTCTGACCCGTGGTGACCCTGTGTGCGCAGAGTACAGCTGTAGGGTCTTCAGCTGTCCAGCTCCATGGGGTTTTTGTGCCTGTGGCCTTTGGGTACAGCGCCAGGCCTGTCTCCAGAGGTGCCTCTAGCTGGGTTTGAACCACCAGCCTTTTGGTTAGTAGTCCTCACTTAAGTGCACCACCCAGGACTCTGAACAAACCTGCCTGCTCTTCAGATGCTTACACTTTCCATGACAAGCTGTCTCCAGTGAGGTGGGGAGAACTTTGTCCTAACACCCTAACAAGTGTGGTGCTTTTAAGAGGTGCAGCCTTCAGTCTTGTGTTCTCCCTGAGAGAATGGTGTAGGTCTACATCCTGTTAGTGGACTGGTTCGACGCAGGACTGGTTCAGTGCGGATTCTCTGACTTTATGCCTTAGAAAAATTAAGGTAATGGAATGGCATCCCATGGACATAGCAAGGAGTCTCCCAGTCCTTCCATCTTGGTGCCATGTTACCAACTGACACCTATGGGTGGTGACATTCTTGCTGCATGTAACTTGCTTTCTAGAAGCCAGTGTGGTGAGGTACCATTCTTGAAACTGACTTCTAGGGGACCTCTGTTCTGCTCAACCCTTTCCTCACCACATGTTGATGCTTCTGTTTCTATAGATCTTAATGACTTTAAAAAAACAAATGTTGTAGACAGTGAAATGAATGACTCCCTCCCCTCCACCTCTGGTTCTAAAGTGATGCACATTCATTGTAGAAAAGGTGAAAATACAGAAAAGCATGAAGAAAGGACGTCACCTGTGATCACAGCTGTCTTAGGCTGTGTTCTGTAGAGAAGCAAAAACAGTGAAGCTTAGAGATTTAGCTCAAGGAAGTGGCTTGCGAGGTTGTAGAGGCTGGCAAGTCCCAGGTCTGTGGGTCAGACATCAAGCAGGCGGCTTCTCCTGACTCACGCGGCTGCAGGGCTCGCAAACCCAAGATTGACAGACAGTATAGCAGAAGGCTGGCTTCAGAGCCCGACGGACAGTACAGCAGAAGGCTGGCTTCAGAGCCCGACGGACAGTACAGCAGAAGGCTGGCTTCAGAGCC